CTGTGTGGCTGCTCCGTGCGCTGGAGCTAGGGCTTGGGCCTGCTGGGCTGTGATGCAGCAGCCGGGTCTGGGGCAGGAGCTCCCGGTGTGCAGATGAGAGGTGGTCTCCAACCAGCTCCGTGGGGCCTCCGGCTGCCAGCTGCCTCGACTACACCGTGTCTGGTTGTGGGTTTGGCTTGGTTGCTGCTGCGAGTTGCATTGCTTTGCTTTGGAGAACACCTGTGTGTGGCCTAAACCTGGGGACCACAAGTCACTGCTGGAACCTGGCAGTTGAGAGGGAGGGGGTCCTGGAAGCTCAGGGCCCTTCCTTCTCTCAGTCTCTCAGTCTCTTTCCTCTTCCTCCTTCTCTTTCTCTTCCGTCCCCCTCATGTACAGGGCGGGAAGTGGCCACCCAGAGCTCCAGGTTCTGTCTGCTCTATTCATACTAGCTGCAGGTTCAGCCCAGGAGCCCCTTCCCCAGCGACGCCCTCTGCTGGCAGGCCCTCGAACTTCTCTGCTCCGCCTTTGCCAACAGGGCCCTCTCTGCCCGGTGCCCCCTTCCTTCACCTGGCCTGCGAACCTGCCCCCTGGAGTGGATTTGCTGTGTCTTTCCCCAAAGATATGGCCACGTTCTAACCCCGGGGCTTTGAACATGACCTTAACTGGACAGAGGGCCTTTGTAGAGAGAATGAAGTTAAAGGTCTCAAGATGGGATGGTCCTGGATTTAGGGCACCCTAAATCCAACAACGGGTACGCTCATGAGAGAAAAAGGCAGTTCGGGACACAGAGACCCGGTGAAGCCCATGGAGGAAGGTGGCAGAGTCTGGAGCAAGGTGTCTGCAAGCCAAGGACGCCGACAACCGCGGGCAGCCGTGGGAGCCACAGGGGCAGCCTGGAGGAAAGCCCCTCGGCGTGGCCGGGAGACACCAACCCTGCCGCGTCTCCAGGACGGCAGAGGGCACATTTCTTTAGTTTTGTGCCACCCAGCATGTGGTCATCTGTCAGCAGCCACAGGAAATACCCAGAAATTAGCTCAGACACCCCCTCCTCCAAGAAGCACTTCCTGACTTTACGCCTCGACCAGACGTTGGCACTCAGCCGTGGTTTTCCCATGCCACTTCCCACAGCCCAGCAGGCCATGCCTCCTGCTCCAGCATGTCCCCTGAAGGGCAGGGACACAGTGGGGTCCAGCCCACAGCAGCCCCTCCAAGGGGAGTCCACAACCCAATAGTCTAAGCTGCCCCGAGAAGGTGGCTGCCATGGTGGGAGCAGGCAGCAGCTCACAGGTGCCCAGCAGCCGGCTTCTGTCTCAGGGCTGGCTTCTTTCATCTCCCACGAACTGGGCACCCACTCCCGGAGGTGAGCAAGAGAAGGCCTCCCTGGGGGTTACGGGCGTGGGCTTTCCTGCACTGTAGTCACGGGGCACGAACTCACTGCCTCCTCTTTAGATGAACATTCCGATCTCTGTGAGAACGCGCTTCTAGAAGAGACTCGGGGCGGGAAGTTAATACTGGCAGCTCAGATGGAAAAGGGCCAGGAAGAAATGTAGCAATGTCAGCATGACCAAGAAATAAAGGGGCTCTTTAATGAAGTCTAATAATTAGGCCAATTTTGGGGGGCTCTGGCTGCGTCTCTGGCAGGGCTGGACCAGCCCCCCGGGTCTGTCCATGACTTTCCAGCCTCCTGGTAACCCTAGTCGTTGGGGGGACCAGACACACCCAGAGCCCGTCTGACAGCCCTGCTCCGAGAAGCAAAGTCCTCTTGTCACCTGGGCCGCCTGCTCCCGGCGCGGTGGCACTGACCCCGGGCAGGCGGGGAGTAGCCACGGCCTCAGTTGCCTCTTTGATGTGGGAGAGAGAACCCCAGAGCGGGCATCTGGAGAAGGGGGCTGGCCTCCTCCTGTTCTAGAAGAACGGGAGAGTGAGGGGTGGGGCTGCAAAGTCCCCAGACCTGCCCCGCCAGTCCAGTCGCCTACCTGCCCATAGCCTTGGGCGAGTGGCTTCACCCTTCACGTCCCCACACTCATCCGTAAGTGGGAGGTGAGCCCCATAAGTGGGAGGTGAGCCCAGCCCTGGAGGAGGCGGCGGCCGGGAGGGAGTGTCTTGAGGAGGTGAAGGTCGGGCGTGTGGTGAGATGGCAGAATGCACGCTCATGTGCACACCTGCACACCCGTACACCTGCACACCCTCACCGCGATCATTTGAGGACGATCCACAGATCGCGGCTGTGCCAACCCCCGGTCTGCTTTCTTTTTATCTCTTCTTCTTTTTCTGTTTTTAGTTCTGTTATAGGGTGTGTGTACTCAGCAGAGAGACAGAGAGGGGGATGGCCATGCTCCAATCCCTTCTCTACTCTCAGAATGGAGTCACGTTCTCTCAGAGATAAGGCATGCAGCAAGTGCATCTGGCATGTTTTGCAAGCCACCGGGTCCAGGACTCAAACTGCAGAGCTGGCGATGTGGGATTCAGCACCTTAACCTCCATGCCACCTGCTGGCCCTCGTATGACTTTATATGCCATTCGGGAAGCACAGCCCACCAGGCTGGCCACATCTTCAGTGCTGGTGTCCAGAGGCGCCCTCAGGCACGGTTGCTCACGGACATCACCCCGCACTGTGCTTGTGCACACCTGAAGGGACCGAGCGAGGAGAGCGCGGAGGTTCCTAGGCGTCTTCATGGATCTACTCCTCGGGCCGCTGTCTGGCTCTGCGCTACCCGCATTCCAGTGTCCCCACCAGGTTCTCTCTGGGCCCCTGAGGGTGTTGGTGCCACAGCACTTCCCAGAGGACGGTGCCTGCATCTGGGAGCTTCCACCACGCTCTCACACCTACCTGCAGGCTGCGGCCTGGGGGCAGAGATGTGGGGAGGTGACAAAACAGGTGACACTCCCCGGGGAGTTTTTCCCCAGAGAAGGCCCACTCAAGCCCGGGAAGTGGGAGAGGGGACCGCCCTGCTCCAGGGACCCTACTGAGGTCATCCGGTGCAAACGCGTCTTTCCACTTGGGCTTAAACCAGAAGTCCTCGATGGCCATTTGTACCCTGGGGACTTGGGCCCTTTCTGGAGACATTATTGTCACAACCTCGGGGAGTGTGCTGTGGGCACCAGTGGTCTGGGCCAGGGGCCCCGCTCACGTCCTGTGTGGTTCCCCTGCAGAGAACGTCCACTCTCACCCTGCTGCGTCTGAGGACCCCAAGCCTGACCCAACAGGGACAGTGCTCCGGTCACGTGGAGATGTCCCCAGGACTGTCCAGAGAGTAAGCCCAAACCCCTCGGCGGCTCCCCCTCCCGCTCGCTTGCGCCCCTGCCCTGGGTGCCCTCTGCTCCCCAAGGGCAGAAGGCAGGCCTATCTCCCCTGCAGACCCTCACCTCACCGTCCAGCCTGGCGGCTTCAGCCAAGCCCGGGCCAGGGCCAGAGGAGAGGGGCCACCTGTGACTCAGGGGTGACTGTGGCTGTGACCCTGGCACACTGCAGAAATCACACGTGCTGCACGTCATGGCTGTGCCTGGAACCCGCGTCAGCCTCACTCTCCACCCGGAACTTATTTGTCGAGTACGGTCACTTCCTTGTCACAGTGAAAGCCAAAAGCCACCCCAGGCCCAGGTGGGGTGTCCTCTCTAGTGCTGACCAGTTTCTCTTATGAACCCCCCACACGTGCACCAAAACAAGAAGAAAACCATTGCTGAGTATTAGGGACACAGCGCAGCCCAGACATGGCACGCGTGAGTGAGCGCAGCTCCCGGTGCGGCCTCCACGTGACGCTCACTGACACGGCTCGGGGATGTGCGAATGTAGATTTGGGGGAAACAGAGTGCACGGGGGTGGGAGGCGCGGGGTGTGGGCACTTGGGGACTGTCTACAGAAGCCCATTTTGGATTTAAAAGGTGAAACCTATCAAACGACGAATTCCAGTCACCCCTGGGCTGTTTTGCAAGGGACGGGTCACTGGCTGGATTCGGTCATTACCCCACGAGACTGTGAGTGTGTGTTTGTGCAGACACTGTTGACATTTGGATTGTGTAGCAGACGCCCCTGGGCTGCACCCGCGTCCCTTTGGGTCCACTTGTACCTTTCCCACCTCAGCGGAGAAGGGAACGAACACCCCCAACCCCAACCCACCCCCTGCTCCATCAGAGACAGGAACTAGAAGCATTACAAATCCTCCTTCTCCTTGCCCAGCCCTGATGGGGCCGACTCCACAGTGTGACTCGGCCACTACATCATTTAGAAAAGTAATGTGGGGTCCTCTTGTTCAGAAATTTCTAAGAGCATCAAGTTGGGGACAGCAGATCATTAAAGCAAGCATGGGGCCACCCCAGTGACCACACGGGCTCACACCTTCTGCTGCCCCTCCTGCCAGTGACACCCTCCCTGTCCCCCACCCCAGGACCGGTCAGTGAGGAAGCTCTCCCAGCCACCAGGCGAACACTTGCCGGAGTCGCCCTCCCCCCAGTGGCACGCTGGCTTCACACCTCCCATTGGAGGCCATCAGGTGGGGACTGGCCTGTGGTTCAGTGGCTAAGGGAGCCAGCTCCCACATGGCTGACCATGGTTTGAATCCCAGCCCTGGTTGCTGGAAAACGCCAAGCCCATGTGGATGTGTGCCCCAACTCCTAATGAGATAGAGAAGGCATTGCGGCGTGACCATAGGGGTGACTTTAGGGGTGCTTCTCCTTCTCTCCTTCCCCTTTTCTGGTGAGTGCATACCTCCCTGGTTAAAAAAAAAAAGGAAAGAGAAGATGGTCAGATGACCAGATGGTCAGATGGCCAGACTGAGTCATGCGTGAGCAGGGACGTTTATTTCCATGTATGACGCGAGAATTGACTTTGAAAACACCTGGATGGCACATACTTCCCAGAGTCAGGCCTGGAAGAAAGCTGTGAGAACAACGCAGTCCTGGAGAGGGCTTTCGGAATGCTCACGGCAGCTCCCGGCCTGGGAGAGACGTCGCAGCACGGCAGGTCAGGGCTGGCTCCCGGGACGGTGAACCGGGCACAGGGCTGTGCAGTGGCTCCCACGGTCTCAGTCCCCACTAGCAGGAGGCCAGGGGGCATTGAGGCCAGGCGCCCTGACTCCAGGAGCCCCGAGTGAGCTGAGTGTCACTCGCGAGGCCAGATGTTTCCACCCGTTGTTTGCAAATCGTAGCGGAGAGTGAGGAACTTCTCGCACAGGAGCTGAAAGGAAACAAAGACAATGCATCCGACCGCTACGAGGGCAGAGCTGGGGTTGGAGACCTTGCTCGTCCCCCACCCCAAACACCAGGCCGGTGTTCCCACCCGGAAACATCCTTAATCCCCTCGGGAGTCCTCCGGGGCCTCGGCTTGCTCAGTTCCTGACTTTCCCTCTGTCAGCCCATTTGTAGATGAGGAAACTGAGTCTTGGAGAGCCGGAGTTTGCCAAGATCAGACGACGGCAGATCGAGAATTTAGACCCAGGCCTGGCTGGTTCCGGAGTCTGTGCTTCCGGAAACCATCCTTAACCGTCTTCTCCAAGGTCGTTCTTTCCACTGTGAAGCCGAGGCGGATGGTGATGCAGTGAGAAAATGAGGTGCTCCGTGAGGCACTTCCACACGGGAGGTTCCCAGTTCAAACCCAGAGACCTCCCTGAGTGTGCTGGGCACACACCCGCCCGGATCCAGGGCCGAGGCTGGGGTGGACCAGGGCCTGGGGCAGCGGGGTGCCACCTCCCTCTCAGTCTCTCTTTCTCGTGGAGGAAATGAATATATAAACTTAAAAAAAATTGGTAGCCTCAGTTATACCGGCCTTGGTCGGGGCCGCTTCTGTCACCAGCAGGTAATAGACACGCTGGCCGGGGTCCCAGCCGATGTCTGTCTTTCAAGGACACCCTGGGGGCGCCGCCTGCTGTCAAGGGCTTTTACTGCCCTGCACGGTCAGGCTTTCCCGGGCGGCTCTCGGGTTGCCGCGAGCCCACAGCCCCTCGCACCCGCTTCTCAGTGCGAGCGGAGCCTGGCCTGACCGCTGACTCCTCTGGGCCGCCTCCCGCTGTCCAGTGCCCACCCCAGGGGCCTCCCTTTGGCTCCTCAAAGCCAAGGTCTTTTCCACCTTGGGAATTTGCTCTTTTAGCTCCTTCTGCCCAGACACCCCGTTTCCAGGCCTCCCCGTCTCAGGGTGGCTCAGATGTCCCCTCTTCACGCTTTCTGTGACCTCTCAGCCCACGCCCTTTACTCCGTACCCCTCTGCGGCTGCACACATCCCACACTGACTGCGTCCTGGCATTCCCTGCCGCTCTGGTTGGCCTGCCTGGTGTTCTCATTCAGATGGGACCCCCCACAAGAGTGCGGACTTCTCACTGCATTACCCCAAGATGCCTGGCATCAGCAGACACCCCGAATTGCTGTGGGGTGACCGAGTGCCCTGTCACACCTCTCAGACAGTGGGAATTTGACGCAGCAGAGAGAGATAGGCTCTGGGACCCGGGGCACCGGCTGCCTGTCCTTGCTTAATGCAGGCAAGGGACTGGCAAGTCACGCCCGGGTTGGCCCTGGGCAGGGTGCGAGGGTGAGCAGGCCTCCACTTCTGATCACTCACAAAGCCTGCTCTGTTCCCAGGGCGCCCTTGGGGCAGGGAGCTGGGTGACTCCAGTAGGTCGCTTGCTCGGGGGTGGGGGGGGGAGCGTTGGCGGGCGTCATGGTGACCCCAGTCCATACCTAAGTGCAGGCTTACGCCCTCTCCCTCACCTGCTGCCTCTGCTTACTGGAAGTGTCCCTGCTGTCCCTTCCCAGGTTCTGCCACATTCTTGGAGTCACCGTCTGCAGAAAGAGCAGAGCTCTGTCAGGGCAGGGCTGGCTGACCCGCTCCAGGGCTTCCCACGGCCGCCAGCCATTCCCAAACTCGTCCCCTACCTCCGCCCTCCACCGTCGTGGTCTGGCTCGTGTGCCTCTCCTCCACGTGAGGTCCCTCATGCCTTCTCTTCCCCGGCCCTGTCGGCCTCCTGCCCTCCCTGCCTGTAACGCAGCTGCCTGGTCACTCCGGCTCTGGCCTTTGCACACGCGCTGCTCCCCGGCCTGTCTCCTACCTGCCAGGCTCAGCTCTCAGGACCCCCGGCAGGAAGCCCTGTGTGAAGACCGTCTCAGGCGTCCTCACATGAAACAACCTTTCAGGCTTGACTGCTGTCTGAGTCTCCCTCTTAATATTCGCGACCAGACCTGTCGTGTTCACAGATGTCGCCCCAAGCCCCAGCGCAGTGGTGAGCAGTTCTTGGTCGTGTGTGTGTGCGTGTGTGTGTATTTAAGTTTACTGTAGGATGTGAGAAAACACCTCTTGGGGGATGGCCATGCTGCAACCCCTTCTCCATCCTCCTGTCAGGATTTTGGGCACGCATGCACACACGCCTGGCACGTTTTTGAACTCTAGGTCCAGCTGTGTAGTTGGCCACATGGGATCCAGCTGCCTTAACCACCACGCCACAGACTGATCCACGCGGTGAACTCTTGGTAAGGTACGTGGGACAGAGAGGAGTGATGGGTAGAAAGAAGGACAGACGACCAGCTAGACAAATGGAGGGAGGGACGGAGGGAGGGGTAGCCGAATGGAGGGAGGTTTAGCTAGATGGGTGGAAGATGGTGGTGGCCACGTGTCCAAGCCCTGAATGAGAATAGCAGGGACCCAGGCACGGCCGGGCCCTGGTCCCGACGTTCACGCGGCTCTGTGTTTGCTGTGAGCCCCTCGCCACAGAAAGGGCTCCTCCTTTCTCAACCCCGCTTCTCATTTCATCCCCTGAATCTCAGCCCTGGGCTTTGCTTTTCTTCTTCCCCCGAAAGATGCTCACCACCCTTTTCTGTGCCCTTGCAGAGAAAGAAGGGCGGCCTCTCTCTCACCTGGATATTCCTTGTAAAATTCTTGCTGTAGGAATTGCCCGTCTGGAAAACAAGCGAGAAGGAGGTCAGGGCTGGCTTCCTGATTATGCTGAGGAGCTCTTTTTGGTTTTCACTCTCACTGTCTCACGAGCGTACCGTGGACTTTTCCAGAGGCCACGTGAGGCATAGTCACAGCCAACCCCACCCAGCAGGCAGGAGAATTTCACTCAACTCACGGAGCAGAGGAAGTTGCAAAACAACAGAAAACGCAGAGCAACGCCACTATTCTCACTGCATTTTTGGGTGGGAAAATATAGTTATTTTAAATCATATTTTCTGGAACCAGCAGATAGCGTAGTGGCTATGTCGCTGGACTCCCACGTAGTCGACCACAGTTTGAGTCCCAGACCTGGTGGCTTAAAACTCACACCGGGCGCGTGTGCGTGCGTGCCCAAGATCCTGAGAGGAGAATGGAAGAGAAGGGATTGTGGTTTGGCCATCCCCCCTGGAGGGTGATTTCTTGCTTTCTGTCTCTCTGTCTCTCTCTGTCTTTCTGGCGAGCGCACGTACTCTGTAGCAAAAATCTCTCCAAATAATAATAATAATGTTTTCCTTTCCTTTCTGTTCAACATGTAGTAGATTTATCATTGTTATTATTTATTTATTTTGTAGAGATTTTTGCTATAGGATGCATGCACTTGCCAGAGAGACAGAGACACAAAGTGAGAAATCACCCCCCAGGGGGATGGCCATGCCACAATCCCTTCCCTTCTGTTCTCCTTCCGGGATTTTGGGCATGTATGCACATGCGCCTGGTGTGAGTTTGAAGCCACTGGGTCCAGGACTCGAACCACGGTCGACTACTTGGGAGTCCAGCAACTTAAGCGCTACACCATCTGCTGACCCTATCGTTGTTACTTCTAAATGAATTCATACGTCCATGTTTTCAGCATCCCAGCTGTGGTTTCTGACCCATGTCATAGCTGTAACCTAAATAAAGGGAAGCTGCTGGGGCCTCCCCAGTATTTCTATGGGCAAAGGGATATGGAGAGCAAAAGGTTTGGGAGCCACTGTCTTCACAAATGCAGTCAGCCGTTTCCACGTCACAGTGCGGTCCCAGCTGTGGGCACTGGCTGGCCAGTGGAGGATCCAGACCGTGGATCCTCCCTCTTCCTGAGACGGAGCCCACAGCGGCGTACACTCGTGAGGGCCTACCGCGGGCCTGGCCATTCTACACACTGCCCAGGCATTTTCTCACTCGAGCCTGGTAACTACTCCACGAAGTAACTGCCACCTTACGGGGGAAGAACCCGAGGCTAAGGAAGGTTGAGCACTTGCCCAAGACCACAAGGAGCTAGGAACGAGGCTGCGGCTTCGAACCTGTTTGGTGGCTCTTTTTTTTTTTGTAATCGCCAGAGGGTGCTCACGGAGAGTGGGAGAGGAAGAGGGGAAAGCACCCTCCATGGGCCGTGGCCACATCGTAACCCTCTCCCCTTCACGCGCATGCACCCTGTGTGCTTTTCAAGCTGCCGGGACCAGGATTCGAACCGTGATCAGGCCATGTGGGAGCCAGGTCCTTTAACCACAGGTCATAGGGCCAGCCTGGCCTGTGGTTCTGAGTGCACTCCCACCCGTGCGACACCTCCTCTTGGTCACACTTTTCTTGCAGGTTCGCCAGCGTTCATCCAGCCGGTGTCCTCGGGTGGCCTTCCCGGTTCTCGGGGTCATATAACTGAGCGCGGAGGGTCGGGGGAAGCGGTGAAGCGTGGGAGGAGATGGCTCCGGAGTCTGTGAGAGCAGCTGAAAGCATCCGAGGAGTGGGGAGGTCTGGGAAGCCGGCCTTGGGCAAAGACGACGCCGTCTCGGGCACCCTGCTCTCCCGTCTAACTGCTCATGGACACATCGCACAGGCTTCCGGGCCGAGCTGGCACTGAAACAGAACCACCCTGAGTCACCACGCTCTGCACACTGTCCATGGTGACCCCGCCTCCGCCCATGGACCTGTCATTGGGGGCATGACATGGGGACCATCGGAGGGCCACCAGAAATGTGTGTTGTCCTTGCCAGCCAGCGTTGAGTTCTGGGGAAAAATAGCCTTCCTTCTTGCCCCGTTCCCAAGAGGGCTGCTCCCTCGTGGGGGCCGTTGGGATGACTATAGATCCTAGCCACCTGCGTCCTCGGCTCACCGGGACGCTAACCTCACATGGTGGCCGGAACACACGGGTGGCATGACAAGCTCGGGCCAGGCCTCCTTATTTCAGAGTGACAGGTCCACGGAACACCTAACTTGACCTGTAGCTCTCCTTGGGGAAAGGCTGTCTCCTCTGTGGTCTGGCGGGCTGGTCTGCCTTGGGTTCGCATCCACAGCCGGCACCCCTGGCCACCTGTAGCGCCGCGTGGGTCTCGAGACACGCGTGGTGGAAGGAAGAGTGAAGATGCTGCTCTGTGCGTGCGAGGGGACAGACGTGGCCTTGGGTGAGTGCGTTTACTCCTCGGGTAGCCCAGTCCACGGGGAAGGACAGCCAGCCCTGGAAGGGTTAGGTGGTTTGCCACACACAGCAGTAAGGTCCCCATGGCACGGGCACCACGGTCATCCGCCTGGAGGTCTTGCCCTGCATCCCCAGCCCTACCAACCGCAGGTGAATGCAGGGGAGGCAACCACGCAGTGCGAATCTTTGTATGCTTCTCCAAGCTCAGGGTTCATCCCAGGAGCAGTTCCCGGGCAGCTGCCCCCTCAGAACTGTGCTATCTGCAGTCATGGTGGAAGTGCAGATGCTTTATCTCTGGGCCTTCTCGAAGCCTTAGAGAAATGAATGCCCAGGTCAGCGAGGAAAGGCGTCCTGGCGGATCACGGGCCCTGACACATGCTTGGGCACAGGGACTCTCGGCTGAGGGGCCCGTCCTTGGCCACGAGGGCTCAGAGGAGAGAGGCGGGGACACGGGCCTCTGGGCATGTGGTCTCAGTCCGACTGAGCTCGTTTCTGACAAGGTGAGGCCAGAGCTCTCTGAAGGTCCAGGTTCTTGGCTGGTCACATCTTTTCCAAACTCCACATCAAAACGTGAGTCCAGGTCTCCCCACCGAAGGCCTGCATGGGCTCGAGCTGGTTTTAGGCGCCCAGGAGCTTCCCTCCTTGGAAGAAGGACGTGAACGAAGGCATGCCCCCCAAGCTGTTCATCGCCTCCTCTCTGAAGACAGCACCGTTCGAGTCCCCCGGAGAGTCCTGGCAGAAGCCCTGGAAAGTCGGGGACTCTCACACACGCCAGAGTCCGCACAGCGCAGACAGATGTGCAGAGGGAAGCGTGACGCCCGGTGTTCACCGCCAGCCCCGCCCCGGGCCTGCACATGCGCCATGTCAGTGAGGGAACGCCATCGTACAGGTGAAGAAGCTGAGGCCCCGAGGCCTGAGGTTGACCCCAGGTCACCCAGCTGTGAAGTGGCAGTGACGGGACATGCATCCAGCCTGCCGACTCCAGAGCCCAGGCCACATGCCAACGTGGGGGCAGGGGATGATGGGGGTGTGAAAGAAAGAGCCAGGCAAGGGGAGAGGGAGCTCTCTGCTGGCTCTGGGGTGCCCAGGGACAGTCTCTGGGGCAGGTCTTGGCATGGGGGAGGTTATAGGGAGGGTAGGGCTAGGGCAGGGGCAGGAACGGGGCGGGGCACCCACACTCACCTGCTTGCTGGCGCTGCTTGACGCACTGCCCGTGGTTGGGGACGCCCTTGGCCATGTCACCTGGGCTCAGGATGTGGCACTCGTAGCCTGTGGGGCAGAGCAGTGGCTCCGCCCCGTCCTCAGTGGTGCTGCAGGCCACTACTGTGGGGGACAGCCGGGGCATCAGCACGGGCCTGGGCTGGGTGCAGAGAGCACACCTGGCCCGGACCCCGCGGCTGCGCCATGGGCCTTGTTCCCAGGGGCATGCAAGTGCAGGCACACGCACAGAAGCCTTGGGAAGTCTCATGATCCCAAACATGCCCTCACATGCACAGGGACATGCATGTACGCATCCACAGCACATCCTGAGACAAGCAGCCATGCACGGGCTATAATCACATGCACATGCGGTCACTGACACTCAGACCCACGCCCACGGGCTGTCGCACACCTCCACACAGACACGGGTACTCAGCCATGTGCCACATGCACAGCTCAGCCCGTAGCAGAGTCACCCATGGGAGGGTGGAGGGTCGCGAGCACGGCTGTGCACACGTGTGCACACTCACCCGGCCTGCACCTGAGTGCCGTTCCTTTCAGGAACTGCGCCCCATCCCGCCTCCCAAACAGGCCTCCTCAGGGGAGGCAGAGAGCCCCTATTATGATCGTGAGTGTGGGGGTCTGAAACCCGCCCCAAGGCCCCACCCCCAATTTCCGCCCAGGAAGGAGGTCTCGTTCTTAGGGACTGGGAGAAGCTGGGAAGGCCCGCCATAACCCTGAGAG